CTAAGGAAACGTTTCTGGATTTACATTGTTAAAAAAGTGGATAATGTTAAAAATAATACTGTGATCAGCATTAGGACTTCCATTATGTGTCAAAAAGAATCACGCTCTGTTTGTTTCCTGGCCCCCTGCAGCCAGGCTCTTCATATTAACTTGAGTGATTTGATGGAGTAACTTTGGGCTTTTGGTCCAACTTCTACGTTTAGAGATATATGAATAAGACTCTGGTCTGTACCAACACCTTGCCTAGCAAAGTGTTAGCTCATATTTTTTTCCCATTCTCTCTATCTGTTCTTAAGATAAATTTCAAAGATGAATTTCTAAGAGGTTATACAATCAGTGTGACGTTGCAAGAACATTTGCAAGACTCTTGGCAGTTGAGTCTCAAACAACTAAGCAGTATTAAAAGTTGTGGTTTTCTCATTTGAGAGGGCATTCAGTTTCCAAGAGACTTTTAAAGGAGCAGGGTTAAACTTGTAGCATTATTTTTAAATCTAGAGTTATCAATAATTTCAGATTGTATTTCAAATAAGAGATCATGAGTATCAGAATTATGAAAGAATTCATTTTCAAAATAAGTTTTGAGGGGGTTTATAAATGGTCTATTTTTGTCTGCCATAGAAAACTGATTTTCATGTTTTTATTTAACAGAATATGAATTTATTAGTTTAGCAATGGAAATTTGAAGAAGACCCTAAATTCTCAGGCTCGCCTACCTAAAAATTGTCTGATTCTTAAAGACAGAAAACACATGCATTTTTGACGGTTCCCAGTTCTTCAGAACTAACACTAGAAATGTTGATGATGCAGGCGTAGTTCTCATCAAATATGTAAGCTTATGATGGCTTAATTGACAGAGTTACACAGAATGGTTCCTCCGGCTTTGAGAATTGTGTAAAAGGCCCTGAGTGCCTGCATTAAGGCTGTTTGTTTTGCAGAACCACCTGTGTGCAAAAGCTTGAGGTTCTGTACTGCACCTCTGCGAGACTAGCTGGGAGCTGGGGGACGCTCCAAGCCATGGCCATGGGCAGTCCCAGCACAGAGCCTGGCAGTGCATGGACCAGGAGCCTACAGCTGCACCTGGACCTGTTTCTTCTGTTACATGGCTGAACCAAATCTGTGTGGCAGTGAGAGGAGAACTGCATTACCTGTCTGTCTGTGTGTGGTCTGTGAGTAGTCTATCGTGTCATTACTGTAGACTGCAGTAGCAACAAACATTTCACTGAGAAAAAGAATGTTATTTTAAAGTACATAGGCATCTCCAAGAATCTGTATTTTTATTTATGCTGCACTGAGGATTCAAGGACTTGAATTTCTTAAACAGAAATTTTTAATGACGATGATAAAAAATGTATTAGGCAGAGTACAGGTCTGACTAGGGTTACCCATACATACTTTACTATTCATAGTGACCCAAAAGGGGAAGGAATACGATTCAGACATTTGCTGATGTGTTACTTACCAAGCAGTGAGATTGGGGTAATCAGCTTCTATAAACTAAGGCCATTTGGAAACAGGACAGCAGTAGTGCTGGCGGGGGGGAAGGTTAGTTTTATATCTCACGATCGTGAGTTTTCTCGAACCGATAGCCTGTTTTACCTGAGGAGAGGGTTAGAAAGGGCTAGATCCATTACGTTCGTAATAAACGAGGATTGATTTGAAATATAATTTTTGTAATGTCATTATTTTGCAAAACTACAGCACCAGTCAGGCAGTTGAGATATTGTCAGAGGTGCTCTTTTAATTTAGATATTCTTGGAAAATACATATGTATAATATATGTACATATATATATATACACACAGTATATAATCTACAGCTCTGAGAGCTTTTAAGTCAGGAATGCTGAGTATTATAGTATATGGAGGTCAGAAAAAATTTTTACTTCTGTGTGCGTCTGGGTGTGTGCGTGTGTGTGCGTGTGTGTGAAAGCCTCCCCCTGCCCAGTCCTTCTGGGCTGCATTATTTAGCGCTTATTACTGATTTGTTTTGTGCTGTTTCTCAGTTATCCATTTTTGAGAATTGTATTTCATTTTTCATGGCTTTTGTGAGTTGGTTTGTTTTTATCTTTATTTTTTTTTTTTGATAGAGATTTTTGAAATGATGTAAACAGTTGTTTTACAACAGCCACCACCCCCCAGAATAACTTACTTTTGTGCTTTTTCTCTTTGGCAGCTATATATCAAAGGCAAAACAATTGGAATGGTTGTTGAGGTGTTGCTTTTTAAAGGAACCACTGGTAAGACTTCTGTTTTCCTCCTAGAGTAGCAGCAGTGCATTTGTATGTAAGCAGCGATTTCACCAGAAGCAGGTAGTTGCTTGTATCTGAAAGCACAATTGTAGCCTGTCATGCTGTCAGGACTGTACAGACTCCTGTAGGTTCTGGCTCTTCTGTAGGTCGTGTTTGTGTCGCAGACCACTATCTTCTCTGGTACTTTACATTGATCAGAAAATCGGAGGGGCATTTGGAATCATTAAGAGGCTCAGGAAAAAAAAGTTAGATTTAATAAGGAAAACAGCCCTGATAGTTTCTGATCAAAATTTGTACTGCAGTCTTGTTTTGTTTTTTAAATCTGGGCTTCCAGTAGACAGCAGCTGCAAGTAGTCATCTGAGCAAAGACTAGCCTCTGCCTTTTTATCATGTTAGACAGAGAGCCAGTGCTTTCTGTGGGCTAAAGACTGGTCTCTGCATCACAGCAAGTTCATTATCAGTGGTTGCAAATGCATGACAATTCATAGGGGATGTCATTGGTTTTCTAAGACCCTGTTTTTATTGTCATTTTTTACCCTGAAGATGGTTAGTGATGTCACATTTGCCAATGATCTAACCAAAAGGTCATGTATTTATTTTTGTTACACGATATCCTTTGTAAATGTTTAATTAAAATGTGCACTTTTTAAATAAAAATAATAATAATAATAAAAAAGCATAGAAAAAAAAAAAGAAAAATTGGGTTTGCTTAAGAAGCTCCCGGGCACAATTGCTGCGATCCCGCTGCCTGCACACAATTCACTCCTCTCCCCACAGCAGTTGGCTCTTTCACCAGTGTAACTTGCTGATCAGCACCTGGCTTCCAGCAGGCACTGCTTCAGACTGGCAGGAGATGTGAGTGGGTGGTACTGAAGATGGCAAAGAATTAAGTGTGTGGTGTCTCAGAGCAGTAGGTACAGGATGGATGTGGCATTATTTTTAGACAGAACAGGTTCAGTGATCCCAGGTGAGAAAGGGAGATAACTCAGAAAGAAAGCCCAACTCTTTCTCAGCCTCTTTATTCCCCTTAATTTGAGATTTAGCTGTGCATTTTAAAAGCTGTATTCCAAGAATATAAATCAAAACGCTTTATAAATTTTTGACACCGGGAATTAAAGGTATGCTGACAGTGTGTCACTTTGCTTTAAAAGAAAAAAAGCACAACTAACTTATTTGTGCAGAAATGATAATTTAGCTATAATCCTGAAATCTGTCACGGTAAGCAGGTTTTAAAAGCATACAGTACTTTCATGGTTCTCATGTACTGTGCCTGCGAACTCATTTCCCTGAGCTTTTGTATTTGCTGGCTGGATAAGACTGATTTTGCAGAAACCTGAATGTATCGTGAAGCTCAGCTGAAGTCCTTTCTGCTGTGTGCTGGTGGCAGGTTCGGGATTGTGGATAGACATGGCTTAAATCTGTGCATCTTTTAGGGAAAGGGACCAGATCCAGGTGGTAAGGGGGGTTGCATTTTAAGTGTTTTGTCTTGGAATGTACTTTTCACATGTACTTAAGCTCTGTCCTACAAAGAGACTTGCTCTGGCTATTTTTTGTAGCACAAATTGAAGACACCGACCTGTTCTGGTGCTACAAGTGCAGTTCTTGGCCTGTGGCCCACGGCAGTGAGTCTAGGTCTCACTTTCACCAACAAGGAGGAGGAAAGCCAGCTGTCCTTGGGAGCTGTGTGCTGACAGGGATAGGATCAGGGAGCAGCCATAGTGATCCGTGGTTAGCGCTCCTCCGTGAGCTGAGCACTTGCTGTTCTCATTGCTTGGGAACAGTCAGTTCACTGAGTCTCAGCTTCAGCAATCTATTTCTCTAAATTAGGGAATAGCTGAGTGAGGGCAAGGGGAAGATCTTGAGCTGGTCAGTTGTCTGGAAATGGCCACTGTTAAGAACTGAGGGTAAATGGATGCTCTCCACAAGCTGTGTTTTATTCAGGTGCCACTCCATATTTTTTTTTTTTGGTGTGTGTGTGTGTAATAACATTTATTTATATTAAAACATAAAGTTTAAAAATTCTGAACTGCGACTTTGTATGAGATTTAATGCTGTGCTGCTGATATGGACTTCTATGGATGTGATGGGGAACAGGGCAAAAAGAGGTGCTCGTTGGCAGCCAGCCCCTCCACAGGCTTGTCCACAGATCAGTTGTTCACTTCAAAAATGAGTTTCTGGTTGTCTGGATTTATAATTTAAAATTGTTTTGGAACAGTGTTTTTTAGGGAAGCTTCCAGAGCAAGAGTTATTGTTCTCCCTTTGTAATGTATGCTGGAAAGGGCAAGTTCACCTCATCTGCATTTCTGGTTCTTTACCCAAACTATGTTAGCACAGAACAGGGTATTTGAGCTCAACTCCCACGTACCTGTGGAAGTTAAAAGACTGAAAGAAAATCCATTGTTGGGGGAAAATGAATCCTTTTTTTACCTTTCCCCAAAGATCTAGAAACATCCCTGTTGTGTTTATTTTTTTTACTTATTTTTTTGTGCTTTATCTGTGTTTAAAAAAAAGGAAAAAAAAAAGCTGTACTGGGTTATAATGCATTTTATTAACACTATGTACATATTAGCTGCTTTATGTTTTCAGAATGGTAGTAATTGCTTTGTATATTAAAGTGATTCTTGTGAATTTGTGAATTATTGTCATAAAGACGTGCTTTTTCTTACTGTAACCTTTGTGGTATAAACTGTCATAACTCCCTTTTTACACAAACATTTATGTGCAGTCACATAAACATGCTTTAAAAAACTCTAAAAAGTCTCTTTTTTGAGCAGGATTTTCCCTTTGCACTAATCGAGAGGCAGAGCTAGATAGGAATGCAGGAGAGGGCACATTTTAAGCAGTCGATGGTATCCTCATGACATGGCGTGCTGTAAGTATTCATGAGTATTTTCCCAAACAGAGTGCTTTTAAAATCTCAATCCATTTGAATTAATTAGAGGGTAAATCCTGAAGACAAAGTTGCATTCTTCCAAAGTTCCAATCTTCCACTTCTGATACTTATTTTTAAACTTCCTTTCTTGTATCTGTTTTGGTGGTACTTAGTTCTGTTGTTTAATAATGTGTGAAAGATTTTTTTCCTTTCACAGTTTAAATATGCTATCTTTCCCACTTTCAAGCATTCCTCTTAAGCCATGTACTGCTGATTTTGAGAACAGAAGAGAAGGCAGCAAACATTACAAAGATCACAAATTGATTATGTAATCTGCAAGGTTGGATCAAACCACGGGACAAAAGCCAGAACAAATCCATCACTGATGCAATGCACCAAGGGAAAGAAGAAAGGTCGACTCATTATGAGTGGGATTTTGTGGTTTTCATAACTAAGCACTTTCATAGTGCTGTTCCTACATTTGTTCACAAAATCTACATCTCTGCAATGAGGGGAATCCCAGGCAGGTTAGTTTGTAAGATAAAAATGCAGTTTGTCTTGAACTTCACACTGAAGGAATCAGGTAACACAGGTCCCTCTGCAGTCAGTACATCATCCAGTAAACCTGATACTTCTGGTGCTGAGGCACCTTGAAGCTCTTTGTCTGTAAGATACAGAGCTGAATTTTGTACTCTGTCTTCATAATAATAAAGCACCGGTTTTGCAATGACACTGCAGTTTGTTCCCTCACAGAATGGCACATTTCAGAGACGGTTGCAGAAAATCACAGTATGTTCACGTCTACCCGATCACTTCTCTGTGTCTTGGATCCTCCCCCTAGGGTGAGTGGTTTTTTACTGTCAAAAGTCTGTTTATGCACTGCGTCACTGCTCTGGGACAACTGCACCAAGTCCTCCATCCAGTTGAGTTCACATGATATTGCAAACCAAGAGTGATGCAGTGGAACCACCCAAAAGAGAATCTCACTGATTTTTTCAAGTTTAGGATAAACACAGTGGCAGAAAGTGCCTGGGCAGGGTGTTAGTGTAATTGCCATGCAGCTGCTGAACCATTAATGTATGTCATCTCATTCTAGATCAGAAGCTTGCCTGGGACCAATCAGTCGGGACAGGAGCATTTGATTTTGCCTCAGGCTTACAGATGTCATTGCAGAGAGCTGCTCTCAGTACTTACCCAATGGGGCCATTGCTCCTGTCCTGCCCTACACAGCTGGTGTGGTTCACTCCTGAGTCTAGAAGCAGCCAAGGCTGATCTTTTCTGCCTGCTCTCCGAACGGTTGCTGATTGTAAAAGCAGCTACAAGAGAACACACAATGGGAGCTGCTAAACAATTAGAAAGCAATGCAATTAGATTGATCTGTTTTAAAAATTCAAAACTTCTCATCATAGCACGCCATGGAGCAAAGATTCCCTTTTTAACGTCATACAGGTTGTTAAACTTCTACGTTTTATTCTGTGCTGTTTAAGTATGCTTTTAAAGCAGGATCCTGCTAAGGAAGCAGTGCAGCTGCAGCTTCTTGCAGGGGCTGAGCACGGCCAGGTAGCAGACCTTCCCCAGGGGCCAAGTCACATGCACAGGCAGGCACAAGCTGCAGCATTCTGCTTTCTGCCAGCCCCAGCCCCAGGGGAACCAAAACATGCAGTGATCACAGATGAGCTGAGAGAAGGAAGCACTAGGGGGGAGGAAGAGGAGCACTGAGAACTGGAGTCCCATTCCAAACATTACAGCCAGAAACAGAACTGGGAGAGCTTGTGATTTTTTTCCAGATGTTGCTCACCCAATTGGTAGGACAGAAAAGACAGTATGGCACATTACAGCTCATACCATGTTCTGCTTTTAATTAAAGGTGCTGCCTTCCTTTCCTCAAAAGACTTCAACACTAGTTTGAAACTGCAAATTCCCAGTAAGTACTGTTTTAGTGACACCGTGTGGCTTCTAAGTATACAGTTGTAAGCAAGTGTATTACAAAGCATCCGCCCTCAGGCGCAATTCAGAGCCAAGCAAAGAACTGAAGCTGAAAACAGACAACAGATTCTCCAGTGGCAAAATGCAAGGCCTTCAGACCTTGTTGGTGGAAGCTATAATGACACGGTATTTCCAGAATACGGTATGCATGTCACTTCTGGATCACAGACCCTCAGCATCTTCTCATTAGGAACTCTGATGGAAGCAGGTATGGCCTCCACACTTGCAAGTTAGATACAACCACTAATTTCTAAGTCAGCTTGCTTTGAACTGTTGATCCCCCTCCTACCACCCCAGCCCTGTTTTCCTGCTCTTCTTCAGTTCAGTAGTGGTAGCAATAGAACAGATTTATGGCATCTGCCTTTGTTGGGTGTGCCCTTTGCATGGCTTCTTTTACCACAGTGTTAAAAATGCAGGTCTGATGAGTTAAAACACTTTGAACTGAAGTCTTAGTTTATTCCACTTTTCTAAAGTTGAAGAAGTGATAAAAGGCAAAAATCCCACCTAATCTAATTGCTAATATAAGTTTCCTGTGAAAATTAAGTGGGAAAATTAAGATTTTTAAACCACAGATCTTTTGATTACATTTTTCATGCATGACAATTTCTGCAACATAAATCAACTTCAAAAATTATTTGATAAAAAGTCATTGGAAGACCTTATGTATTTCTTACTGGGAAATGAAGTGGAAAATCAGTATGCAGAAGGAGGATAGGAACTTTCCCTGCTGGTTCAGACTGAGTAGAAAAAGAAGCCAGTGAAATAACACAACCTCCATAATTATATGCTTAGGAACAAGTGTATTTAGTAGGAACAAGGAGAGGTTTGAAAAGGATCAGCAGTTTATTAACAAAGTATACAGTCAAAAGTCATCTTTGTGACCATGCCTCTGTGCTTTGTAGATATGAACATCCTTACTGTAATCATAGTGGACCTCATTTACAGAGAAACGGCCTTTCAGCATCTTCAAGAAGTTGCTATCCCGTTCATAGCGGATGCGGCAGGAAAGAAGAATCACAGTTTGCTCTGAGCACAGGTGCTCCAATGTCTGAAGCAGTTCCTCAAAAGTTTCTTCAAGATAAATGATGTCTGCCCCCAGGATGAAGTCAAATGCTCCTGGAGAGAAGTTGCCTAGGTCTTTTCCCCAAGTTAGTTCCTTCACCACAGCCTTTGGGTGTAGTTCAGAAGGTAAGTTAGCCCACACGTTCAACTCCAGGAATTCTAGTGCTGGCTCCCTGTCTGTGATGGTAACGCGAGCACCTAAGCGGTACAGGAATATACATCTCAGATAAATGCTTGATGTCCATAAATAGAGCATCTGGAATACAAAGCTTCAAGGTAAGCAGTCCTAATAACTGCTGAGATGCTTGATTAAAAACAAAGGAACAAAACAAGCAGAAATCCCACTGTCTGGACACATCCCATTCTTCATTAGTCACTTAAGAATATAAAATATATTAATATATTCCACACGAAGATTAAATCAGGTTAAACAAAAAGGTTTTCTGGCGCTTTTTCTCAGTGCATGAGAGTAATTATTTTTCTGGTATGTGACAACAATTTTAAAAAGACTGTCACCATTAACTTGCTCTGATTCCTCATTAGAAGAGAAGCAACTGAAGAGGTCTGAGAAAATTTATGCCTGTGTGATTTCCTATGGCATTGCCACATTTTGTCAAACTGCTTTGTTTTTATTATTTTAACAGGCACTTTCCACTGTCAGTACAGCCCTGAATTACATGATAATCTGCGACACTTAGCACAGATTAAACAGTGCTCAGCCCCTGTCTCGGCCACAGTAGTATGCGAGGCAAATCATTCCTCCAGACCTTGGTTTCCCTGTCTGCAAGATAGGCTAATGTGGCTTTGTGTGCTCTCTGTCTGCAGCTTTATCTGTGCTGCATTTCAGGAGAATTGAAAGACGACAAGCACAGCTCTTGCTCCCTGGGGGAGGAGATCTGCAAAGCTCAGTGTTGCGAAGCAGACTGCCATGGTAACAGCATCAGTCTTAGCAAGGTCCCACCATAAAGTAAACTGTGGTGGCACTATCAGTACAGTAAATAACACAGCAGGCTCTGAAGTCTGATGAGGGAGGAAGATGACTCAGGATATATCACAGTTCACATGTGTGGCTTTCATATGAACTTCTGCATGTGGATGTAAAAATGCCAGTTTTACTACAGCTGTAAATTGCTCACGGCAAACAAAACAACCCTTACCCAACAGTGTGGCCACTATTCCCAGCAATCCAGTTCCAGCTCCCAGCTCAATCACCGACCGATCCCTGAGATCGATGCCTCCCATCTCCAGATAAGCAGACAGGACGACAGCCTGAGCCAGGAGACAAGGTCAGTTAAGTGCACCTCAGTCATACTGAATCACAGCGCTTCTGATTTACACGGAAGAAGCACGTTATGAGGAGGGTCTGCAGCAAGGCTCCGGTCAGCCCTTCCGTGGAGGGCCCGTGAGCAGCGTGCGGTCTTGTCGTGAGCTTTATGGAAGACCCTTAGAGGCAGAATACGATAACGGCCCCGCTACCTAACGTGCAGCGCCGAGGAGCGTTCCGCGGGGCGGCTTCTGCCGGAACCGACGAGGCCGCTCGGGCACCGCATCTCTCCCGCTGCCAGCGCCCCGCAGCCTCGGGCTCGTCCCAAAGCCGGGCCGTCCGGGAGGGCCACGGCCCCGACGAGGCTGCCGGCGGTCCTCGCGGCCGCTGCAGGCGGCGGGCCCCGCGTGCTTCCGTGCTGCGCGCCGCCTGTGCGGGGCCCGGGGCGCCCGCTGCCCTCGCGCACGTGAGGGGCCTCAGGGAAGCGAACTTTCTTTAATCCGCCGATCCCCAATTCGGCGCTCGGTCGCTTCTCCGCGCGATCCGAAGTGCCCGGCCGCCGCCCGGCCCGCACCTACCGCGTCCCACACCACGGCCGCCACACCGCGCCGCTCCCAGTCCTGCCGGATGCGGACGGTGCGCCCCGCGAAGCGGTACGTGGCCGTCGGCCTGCGCAGGCCCTGCAGCGCCCGGCCTTCCTCGTAGGGCACCAGCGCCATCGCGGCCGCTTCCTGCGGAACGGCGGAAACGCGGCGGGGCGCGGCCAAGCCGTCCCGCTGCCTCCCTCGCTCCGGCCGCGGCGGAACCGTGCAGAACAGGGGCCGGGGCGCGGGAGGGGCGGGCGGCGGCGGGGCTGGGCCGGGCGGAGGGGCCCGTGCCGATGAGCGGTGTCGGGCTGGAAGCGGTCATCGCGCGGCCGGATAACGTCGGACGCGGCTCCCGGTACGGCTGGGTCGCGGCGCCGAGCGCGGCCGCAGGGCCGAGCCGCTCAGCGGCGGAGGTGTGGTGCCGGTGCTCCCACTGCCTTGTTTGTGCACGGCTCTCTCGTCACCTTTGGCTCCGTTTAATCTCTTGTTTGGCAAAACAACACAGCGCGCCTCTCCTTTGTCTCCCTACCCAGTTCCTTGAACCTGCTCCAAAGCCTGCTAAAGGCCGTGGGAGGGCCGGGCAGCCGTCCTGGCTTCCCGGAGGCGCTCGGCAAAGACTCCGGCAGCAGGAGGGCAGTGCCGGCCATGCTCCTCGTTCCCTGCACGGGGCCAGAGCAGGCGTGCACGGGTCACAGGAGAAGCGCCTGGGAGACCCGCGCCCATCTCCGGGGGCTGCACCGCTCAGCGGCTCCCGGTGCCAGCCCTCAAACTCAGGGAGCACAACCAACTTCAGAACGCAGCCCTGCCCTCCCACAGGAAACAGCAAATCTGGCTGGCAGAAGAAAGCAAATGTTGTTATATGTGAAAGCTGTTGATTTCAACAGAGCGGCTTTAGATTCGTTAACACCTTTGTGGAAGAGCATTACAGGCTGCACAGGGGAGCAGGAAACAAAGCTTGTTTGTAGGGTTCTGCTACTGTAGTGGAGTGGAAAGCAGAATTCCACTTGCCCCAGACCGGTTCATACTTGTCTTATGGCAACTCAGACTTCTTTTCCTAAGCAGGCCAGAGCAGGTGTGATGATTCAGCTTACTGTGGTTTTATGTCTAAAGCACTGGTTCCTTGCCACTACTCCTACTTGACAATAATGCAGCAAATAGTCTTTTCTCAATAGTGTGTTTTTCTAAGGCATATATTCCAGAGTATCTCAGCAGCTCAGCAGGCTCTACGAACCCTGCTCTTCTCCTCAGAAGTATTTCCCTTTCTTCCTTGCTAATATTACTTTGGCACTGACTTTCACACGCCTTAGACAGAAGGCCAGGAATTACTTTCCAGAGCATAACTTGGTAGTGAAGCTATTAAAAAGGCAATTAAAGGCTATTAAAGGGCCCTACATCTAACTTTTTTTCCTCTCTAGAAATCTGTTTTCCAAGTTACAGTACTCAAGTATTATAACGGCAGAGTAAGAGACATACTTTTTTCCCCACCTTTCCTGACAGTAAAATGGCAAGGAAAATGTAACAAAAAAGAATTCTATGCATAGGACAGTTGTCCAAAACTGAAGTACTTTTTCTCTCAGCAAGGTGAGAGCTTAGCACAGCAATGAAGTTGGGAGAAATGTAACTCGGTTCGCCTTTAAATGCTGCAGAAGGCAATATGGATATCTGAGCTGCAGATAAATTCGCAAAGTAGGAAACTGCTCACTGTAAGGTAAGCAAGGGTGAATTAAAGCAAAAATAAACACTGCTTTCAATCCATTCTTATCTCACTCAACTACTTGATGGAACAGAGGTGCAGTATGTCCAACTGTAAATCCTGCTCCCTCTGATGCCAATAAGCTTTGTGGGGTGATTTAAAGAAGTGTTTCAGAGCAGTGGTTCTTTTAATGCTCAGAATATCAAAGAACCAAGTAGATGTCATGAAAATGAGAGCAAATTCTTTTAAGACTGTACTGGTACACATCTCTTACAGAAATCTTCTCTTGGCTGCTAAATGTTTAAAATCCTTCCTTTGAAATGAATACAGCAGTTCTTGTGATGGTTCTGCAGACACTGCATATACCAAATGGATCTTGGAGACATGCACAACGCGAGGAAAACACTGCATCCATCTCACAGTCTCTGGTTGCCACGGCAAAGACAGGTATAAATAGAAACAATCTGATACACTTTTTAAAAACTCTATCAGGGAACATGCGTTGTTGGTAACTGTCTGACAGCAACGCCTTATCCCAAATGGCCGCAGTGACTATTTGCCTGGAGACTTCTGAGCCTATGTGTTTAATCCTTTCTGTCTAAGCAAATATCAGCTATTTCTGCTTGTCCTTCCACTGGAACACAAGAACTATCTGTGAAGGAAAGTTTTGACAGATGTCTGTTTTGCTAAAAACTTCCTCCAATCAAACAAATGCTAACTAACACCAGGCATGGTGGGGAACTTGGAAAAAAAAGCTTTCTCCTCAGCTACCACCAGCAGCGGCCATTCAAGTGACTAGCAGTGAAGTGATGAACAGTTTTTACGTGTTCACTGGTAGCTTCCACACACTTGGCACCAGAGAGATAGATGGGGCACTGAATTGCTTTCTGTTAAACAAAAAGGGAGTCAGCCAGAGATTAATTCTGCTCATCGCTGCTTGCAGTTACAGAATAAAGCCTGATTGATCTGAACCACCTTTGAAACCAACAGGATGAATTAAAAATGAAAACCTAAGTTTCTGCAGAAGCTAACAGGTTATCTGCAGACATTATAACTTGCTGGTTCTGCAAGAAGTGTTAAATAAGAAAATAATGTATGGCATGAGCTACTGTGTCATTTTCTTTATACAAACACAGTTATGTTAAGCGACGGAAGTAATGAAAAAAATCATGAAGATGCTTAATTTCAGAAGCGCGGGGGCTGAAATGCAGGAAGTTTTGTTGTGAAGGAATAGTTCCCATCAGCACTATTACAATCACTCCATAAACCTCATATCTTGATCAACTGTCAGATATAATCATGGCACTTATTACAATCTCTTGATACAGAAAAATCACATCACTTCTAGTGGAGTTACGTGACTGATCTCTCAAAGGCCACACAGTTCTGAAAGTTGGCATTGTTCTGAAATCTTAATTAACCAACAAAAAGCAAAACGAGCCAGCTCTTCTCCCCGTAAGTGACAATGGCACTTTGGTTGCTGGAAACCTCCAGCTCTTGCTAATGCACTTTGCAGATCTGACCTACAGCCTCACATTGGTGTGCCAGCAGCTGGGCACTGGGCCGTGCTGGCCCTCTGATGGGAAGCAGACAGTGCTGTGCTGCAGGGCCATGGGAGGCAGGGAGGTGGGTTACAGTGCAGATGCTGCTGCCCTCCCGCAGCTCTCATGTGCAGGGTGCCTGGCTGGGGGCTGCAAAGCACCTGGCTCGGGTGTCTGCCTGTGGGATGCTGCTGCACTGGGAAATGTGCTGCAAAAACACTCTTTGGTGGAGGCTGAATGTAGATCCAGAGGGTTAATTTTAAGTGCTCGCATTTCTGATGTGTTCCGTAGGTGCAGAGTTATGTAATTGGAGGGAAAATTACAGTGCAAGCCATGTACTGTATTAATTTACAACTAGTTAACGACAACTAAGGGCAGTTTGAAAACAGTTCTATAGGCAAGCAGACAGGAGCTAGAGCATGCAGGTAGATGCATCAGGTTCCTTTTTTCAACAAGTAGAAACCAAGAAAAATTTTTTTTGTTGGTTGGTTTGTTTATTTATTTGAGATAGTATTAGGCAGCTTTTCTCCACTCTTTAGAAACAAAACCCTTCAGACAAAGGAGAAGAAGCACTAGGCACCCATAGGCAATTTCTGGTGCCTCAGACCTCACAAGAAGGGCTCCTCAGGGCCTCCCTCCAGGCTTTTCATGGCCCATGTTGGAACTAAGCCTTCAGAAGTTTTTCTTAAAGCTATGGCTGGGCTTATACATGCAGTTTGCTGTTTCTGAATGAAGTCACACATGCCATGTTCATGTTTGTGTTAAAATACTGGAAAGCGTTTCCCTTTTCCTCATAGGAAAACTGCATACATGACCTGGAGTACAGCTATTTCCAATGCTTGGCTCCTCAGGAAGAGGAGCTGTGCCAGCTCTGCCCAGCAGCACAGAGCACAGCCTCCTTGATTTCAGCACATCTGAGATTCTCTTTTCAGGTGTAAGGTCTCCATAACTCCACTGCTGCAGTCCATTCTCTTGAGTCTCCAATACCTGCGGATGCTAGTTTTATGTTTTCTTAGGACAAAATGAAGACAAGATCCAAAAAAAGACTCCAAGGTCAAAAAACATTTACTGCCATATTTATGCCAAATGGCATCACTGCAGTGATCCAGGTGCTCGCATGCTAAGAACCTCTGCACTGCCTGTGCTGACATCCAGGATTGCTGCAGAGACACTAAGGTACAGGTGGGATCAATTACAGCCATGCTGGAGTCTGTGTGCTGCGAGGCACAGCTCCCAGCCCTGCTGGCACTGCTCAGCGCTCGTCAGTAGTACAGGAGGTGATCTGAAAACTGAGAACGTTAGGGCTACTAAACCTCCCCCTGTGACCCTGTGTGTTCTGAACAACCTCACTGGTTTCTTTTTTTACTCACACCCTAGCAGAAGCACTGGATCTATTTCCCTAAGTACTTTTTTTGTTTCATTTTTTTCCCTTAAATGGCCACAGCCTTATGTTACTGCTGAGCCTCAGAAGACAATCATGCCTGCAGTATTTTCATCCTGTCAGCTGGTGCTGGATTTCAAAACAGGATGCCCACTTTTCCCCCCATTATTCACAGCAGTGAGATGCAGAATCCTGAGCTTTTGTTTCCAGTTGGTTACACGGTCCAACGTGTGATTCATTCTTCCTGCAGCCATGTTTCCAGGAAAAGACAATACTGTGGCCCCTCTCCAAGTCACCCGCAGACTGCTGGAGGCTTGAGCTGGAGAGTGCTCCTGTGCCTGCAGCTGAGACACTTTCTAAGAAGAGATGAGGGGACGAGGCCTCAGACGTGGACTGCTGTTATCTCCCAACAAACAAGCAAGGAGGGACACAGCCTTGGGAAAGCACATGCAGCACAGAATCAAGGTGCAGATAAGAGCAGAATGTACAGGATTTAAAATTCTTGGCCCTGTGAAGCACAACAAGCATCTGCAAAGAGCTAGTCTCTGTTCTTGGGATTGAGGCTGATTGCCAAGCCAATGGTTTAAGGGCCTGCAGTGTCCCTCCAAACATTTAGGGAGACTCCTGGCTGCTCGATGCCGTTGGTGTGGACTATAATACCCATGGATATTGGAGTTTCCCAAGAGTTGTTCAGACAGGAGCTGGTAGTGATGGCTTCCAGCTCTGCTCTCAGGGATAAAGCTTCTCATGGCTCTGTGTGGTGGAGCCTGGGCCGGAGAGCTGCGTGGCCATGCGCTCCAGCACTTGGCTTCGGCAGCAGTCACGCACAAATGTGCATGGATCTGCTGGCAAGGAACTGTGGTGGGGAAGGCCTGGGCTGGGCAGTGCAAGGGCTTGTCTGCAAACAGTGCCAGTAGGCAGCAACTCACGTGTGTGGGGCAAGCAGGCCAAGTGCAGAGCAGAACCACTTCCCCATGAGCCTGTGAGCAGGAGCACAGCTCCTGCAGTGCCCTGCCAGGTCTGGCAGCCTTCCCTTGTTGTGCCCCCCACGTGCAATGACACAGGTAGCTGGGCTCACGGCTCAGCAGCAGCAGCGTAGGCTCCAGTGCGTGAGCCCTTTGGGCTCCCCACGTGTTCAGCAAAGAGGGAATCTGGTGCTTTGTGTTTTCAGAATAAACCATGGCTCTGTTCCATCTCCATGTTTAGGGAATACAGACTACTGCTGTGACTGTGATCTGACTTCATCTTGCAACCCTATGTGGCCCTGGGGCTGCCTGAAGATCTCCTGGCAGTTACAGACACTTCCCCAGAGGGCCTCTGTTTGGGTTCATTTCCCAGATTGTGGAAAGTAACTTTCTCGTTCATGGAAAGTGAAGTGAGCACGCTCTCCCCACCGTGCACCATGAAAAGCCAAAGGTGATCTCTGGGAGCAGAACTGAAGGCCTGTAGAGCAACCTGTGTGCTGATGGTGAGCATCCAGCTCAGGAGGGCTCCTGTGAGGTGTTAACGCCAGCCAGGGTGTGAGTGCCAGCCAAAACCCTCGGCTGTTTCTTGTGTGTTCTGCTTAGGTCACATTTTCTCCATGAACACCAATGGAAGGGAATGAAGTACTTTTTAACCTCATAAAGCAAGGTTCAGGTTTGAAAGGCCCTGCCAACGCAGAACATCCCAAGGCTGCTGCACTCCCCTCGGCCCGGCGTGCGGCGGGAGGGCCGCACCCCCAGCATAGCGATGGACATTTGTGCGATGGGAACTGCTGACTCACAGGGGTAAATCAAGCGAGATGGCAGAAGGACGGCACGGGAGGAGGATGGGACTGGCAGTAAATCGCAGCGAACGGCGTTCGGAATGCGGCCACGACACCAAGTCAGTGTGCGCGGGGCCGTGCAGGCCAGGCGTGGTGCCACCTCCATCGAGTGCCGCTCTGGGCGCCCAGCGCCATCACCGCCCTAGGCAAAGCACCCGGCAACGGGTCCCGCGCTGCTCTGCCGCGGCAGCTGTGCACGAGAGCCGTCAGACTGCCAAGACGCCCAGAGCGTAGAGGAAGGCGGCTCTCCGCGAGCCACGGATCCCCGCCCGAGACGGCGCTAGGGAGCGCGGAGCACTGGCTCGCGAGCCGTGGGAGCCGCACCCCCGCCCGCACCCGGCAGCCGAGCAGCGCCGCAGCCACCCGCACCTGCCGACCGCGCGGCCCCAGCTCCGCGACCCCGCGAACGGGCCCGAGGGCGGGGCGCGAGCCCGGGGAGGTGCGAGGGGCGGTGCCGCGCGCGCGCGTGCACTCAGGGAGCGTGGGAGGCGGAGCGCGATGGCGGAGCGTGACGGCGGCGGCGGCCGTTGGCGGAGCGGCGTCACGCGGCGGGCCGGCGGCGGGCGATTGGCCGGCGGCGAGGCGGGGCCGCGCCTCTCCCCCTCCCCCGGCCCGGGGGAAGGTGGCCGCTCCGCTAGGGCCGTCGGTCGCCGCGCGGAGGAGGCGGCGGCTCGCGCGCGGCCGTTGGGGCGGGCGTGGGCCGCGCCTCGCCGGGGCGGAGGCGACGGTGATGCTGCGCTGAGAGCTGACGCCCGTCCGCCTCCCTCCCTCCCTCAGCCCGGTGCCTCCGCGCCCCCTCCCCCGCCCCACCCGGCGGCCGCGTTAGCCGGGGCCCGGCGGGGGAGCGCCGAGCTCCATGGGCAACACCGTCACCTGCTGCGTGTCGCCGGACGCCAGCCCCAAGCTCGGCCGGGCCCGCGGCGGCGCCGGCGGGGCGGCGGCCGGGCCCGAGCGCTGGGCGGACGCGTACCAGGCGGCGCCGAGCGGCGGCGGCTCGGGCTCGGCGGAGGCCGACTCGGGGGACTCGGAGCCCGGCGGCGGCGGCGGCCCGCACCTCCAGCACATCAGCGACCGCGAGTTCCCGGATGGTGAGCGGCGGGGCTGCCCGGGCGGCGCGGAGGGGAGCGGGGCGGAGGGGCGCCGTCCCGCCCGCCGCACCCCTTTGTCCCGGCGGCGCTGTGCCCCGAGCGGAGCGGGCAGCCATGGGGTCCCAGAGGGCGGGGGTGGCTCCGGGCCGGGCGCCGTATCGGCGTGCCGAGCGGCGCTTCCATCACTGCGGGGCGGGAGGAAGGAAGGGTTTGTGGGAGCGGGCGGCGGGGCGCTGGGGAGGCTGAGGGCCATGACATCAACCCTGGACGCGGTAATTTATAGCCCGGCGTGCGGGCCCTTGGCGAGGGTCGTGTGCTTTATGCGCTCCTTCGTGCGGCTCGCCGCCCTCCGTGCGCCCATGGCGCCTCACGGTTCCGCCCGGCCCGGCCCGCTGCTCCCAGGCGTGCCCGGCGCACAACAGGTGGGGCCGCGCCGTCCGCTGCCGGCGGCTGTCGGTGCTGCAGTGGCGCGGGGTCACCGCTCTGCTGTTGAAACTTGGCTTAATTCGGTGCTGCGCCGAATATAACCACACCTACAAGAAACGAGTGGGAGAAAACAGCTGTCTGACATCCTTAGCGTAGGGTGGGCGCAGTGACGGTTAGCGCCATCCCTCTGAGCTCATTCTGAGGGCACGAACAGATTTTTGGTGACTGGAGAGAAGCCGTGTGAGTGAGCCTGAGGAGCGGAGTTACTGCTCGTGCCCCGTTCTGCACAGCCGCTGTGCTGCAGCCGTGACCGAAGTGCAGCAGAACAGTCGGCTCCCTCATCTCTGAGACAGCCATGCAGCACTGCAGGAGAAATTATATTTGCCCGTCAGGAGAAATAAAATTTCATTCCTGTGGAAAGATATTGCAGAAATGTCAGAGCTCTCCCATACTCGTTAAGCAGAAAGGAACTAAACGATTCTAACGAGTCAAGCAGAAATGCCTAAGCTAAATGAATGTTCTCAGGAGTAGGGGTTATACCTGATCGAACCCTCACTACGTGATCATGGGGTGGGCCTAAGTAATTAGGCTTAACTTTGAAATCAGCCAGACATCAGAATTTCCTCAAAGTAGGGAAGTACTGGTATTTTTTATTTGAATGAAAGAGTATAACCCAAGCACAAGGCGATGCTTGTCTACCTCAAACCATAGTTTTGTGGCAGTGGAAGGTTTGATCTTGAGGCCAGAGCTGACCCCCAGACTGGCTGAGCTTAGATGGTTTGGGTGTGAGATGGCTTCAAAGATCACAGTACATGGTGTGCTGTGCATGATGGAAGCTGCAGCTGGTGAATGCTACTTGTATGCAGCTTTCTGGCTGATAGAACTATTTAGGGCTGCAGAAAGCATCAAAGTTTGACAGCTTTATGACAATACAACTCTTCCTTACATCTCTGTCCTTGAAGTTTGTTGTTCCTAAGTCATAATTCTTTTCCACTTGTTTTGCTAAAATTGAATGTTTTGGTTATACCAGGAATGCAGAAGCTACCAGCTGTGCTTTGCATCTTTTATATGTATGTATAAAAGCAAGTACAGCACAGTCCTTACAGGTCTAAGCTGTTACACAGGGGCTGTTGGGATACTTTGTGATGCTTCTCCAGTGTGCTGCTTAGCAGGCTCTGTAGTTCATAACTTTTACCTTCTGAACTTATTTATTTTGGGTGTAGAAAATGACAAATATACTGTGAAATACAGTGTATAAATCTAAGAACTGAGATTGTGTCTTATTGCTACAAACATGCCAGCTGCCACTGTTATCAGAAATGTAAATGTGAAATGAATTTCTTTAGTGAAGTAGCACTTCAAGCAGTGCAGTTAACTGTGTTCTAGGGTCAGGAATTAAAGCACTAAGTTCTGCAGTTCAGTTTTCAGCAGAAACTAACATATATTGCTATATTGTTCAAATTCTAAGGTTTACTTAAACTAAATTAATCTGAAAAGTAGTGGCTATGGAAAAATTGGAAACAGCATCCTTATCTGAAGTACACCCCAGGGGGTGAAGTACAGTTGATGATGGCCAGCTGGCTCCAGAAGGCTTTTGGTCACAGCTGCCTGGATTGTTCATAGCAAACCCAGGTTAAACCAGAAAAATCTTGTATTTTTTTAAAACAAAGATGTTTATTTAAGGTAAAAAAAAAAAAAAAGAAAAAAGGAAGGGTAAGAGGGAGGGAGATAAAGCTGAGACACTGAAAAAAAGTTGGTTCAAAGGGGAAGAGGTTGTTGGCTTTGTTGTGAGAGTCTGAAGGATTTATTTAAATGCTATTATCGAGATCCTGAGGTATATAACTTGTTCTGCTCATAGCTTTTCTGGTTGAGCAAACTCTGCATTTACAGTTTGATGTTCAAAGGAGAGGTTGTGTTAAGTAAGTGGAACAGATGCAACTTTTGAGAACTGAAAGCTTCTCAGTAGGTTTTTGTCTTCTGTTAATGTTGAATATCAGGAGCTGAAGTGAGCCTAGAGCTGCTCGTTGGCTGCTCAGCTGTGTGCTGTGTTCCTTGCTTCTTTGTGCAGCTGGGGTTGAGCAGAAGGCTTTCTTTGGTTTCAGAAGCAGCAGCTCTTTGGTGTTAATGTTCCATTTGGGTTAGTTTGTGCTGATTACTGTTTCTTCCAAGTGAGTAACAATTTGCAGTTGATACCTGCTCTCCAGATCCCCGTGTCATACATATGTCTAGTTTTTTGTGGGTTCTTTGAATAAACCAGAAGGCCTTGCTGGCAGTTTTCTCTCATTTGCTCTTGAAAATATGATTTCTGTCCACCTCTGCTGCTTGCTGAGCACAGTGGTTTTGGTGGGACTTGCCTGATGCACCAGAGCCAGGCAGAGAGTTGCTGACTTGCTGATCTGATGGGACAGCATTGCGTGGTACCTCCCCCAAAGAGCTGGGAGGTGGGGAAATGAGGAGGCAAAGCAAGTAAGGTCCAGCACAGGTGTCCAGAGGACTGTGGTAATCACACAGGACTTTGATGGGAAAACAAATATAAAGGGACTTCAGAGGGGAGTGTTAATAGAGAGAAGTGATCTCTGCTTTAACAGGTCAGTCTAGCACCTACCTTAACTCTTCAAGCACCAGTAAACTTACCTTTCTCTCTTGTTGGTAGTGTCTGGCTCTCCAGAAGCTGCCGCATGCTGAAAGGGCAAACTGCAAGATGTCTGCATGCCACACTTACCAGTGTTTGGAGATAATCAGTATATTCCATTATCTGTTCATCTGTGATGTCATTTCACCAACTTGTCTATGAGTCGTCCTGTAGAGGGCTAAAAAAATCTGTCTGTCCCTTATATAAGCATTTGGCTGTTGTGATTGATTGTTTGTTTGTTTTTTTTAATCCTGGCT